TTTTTTCTTCTTCTTCTTTTCCACCAGAATTGATCTGTTTGTTCTTGAGGCATGTGAGAAATTTTCACCGGCTTTCTAGTATTCGTTTATTTTTGAGAACAAATATACCTGTCAGAAGTGTAGAATGCCTTCGAGGGATAATCATTAATGGCACTTTGAAGTCTACAAAACATAAAAGAGAGAACACGGCACTCACGAACTGGGCTTTCTTTCGCAAGTCTACAAACCTCTCAGCGATTTTTTGATCCGAAACGGTGGTTTCTTTTAAATTCACTGACCCCAACCAACCACTGATAACTACCCCGTGGACATCAGCTAATTATCTTGCAAACTGTCGCTAAAATCTGTCTGTTACCAAAATAGTTACAGATCACAATATTGCCGACACACTGCTTCAGTGAATATGCAAATACTTTGAGATATATTAGCCCTCAAACTGTCTGCTCACAAACTCTGAGAGTCCGACATTGCCCTATTACCAAAGGTAAGTTTCTTTGTAATTCTCTCGGGTGTGCTTGTGGCGTATCTGCTCTTTTATATCTAAAATAACATAATATATATGTGCGATACGAGGTTTAGCATATATTGGTATTCTATGCCTTTTGGAGGTATGCCTTCCTCGTTTTCCCAGGAGGTTATCTGCAGTTTCCTGAGCGCTTTCGATGTTATTTTTTTAGTACCAGTCTTCTATCTCAGCGTGTTAGCAGCTCTGGCAGTGTTTACTTTGCTGATGTTCGAGCATGGTCCTGAAGTACATGAAGCGATCAAAGTGATTTTATCGGAGTTATTGTTTAATGTTTAATACGAAAAGAAATTTTTACGTTATCATGGCATTCAAAGTAAAATTGTCACTCAACAGCTCAAATCATGTATCCACAGGTTCTATGGTTGTTTTAGTCTTTTTTCGAAACACTAGTCAAATTAAGTCCTTTTTCCCCTATAAGGACAGACTCAGCCGTTCCCTTACGTCTGAGATTGTGTTTAAGGTTGCTTGTTGGGATTGTAATGCCTTTAATAATATACACGAAAAAATTACTCGATTCTGATTGGCTGAGAGCAGCGCAGTTTAAGCGTAACATCAGCGCAAAAAGTGAAACACCGGTGCAAAAAGTGTAACACCAGTGCAAATAACACATCGTACGAAAATTTTGGGCAGAAACTTTGAAAAAAGTTTTCTCGAATGAGAAATAAATGGCTTCAAGAAAGATCTTCCGGCACTTCCTCCACGCGAAGGTTTTCATGTTTATATTATTAATAAGTAATCATACGAAGCAGCTCGTACAATTTCAGCTTTTTGAAAAACTCACTAGAGCAAATTAATTCCAAATTGAACTCAAAACCGTATGATTACCTATACTTACATTGGAAAAACAAAGCGTCGGTTGGTACTAGTCTTCTCGTTTGAATTTAATGTAATGCAGCTAACCGTTTCATTACTTTTGATGATGTATGTAGAAGCATACGAAACGTCAAGTTCTTAAATCAAGGTCTTTACAACATGCGTTGTTTTGTTATGTTTGTGACCGCATTTTGTTTTTTTTTTTATTATTTTCACTCAAGCTGAAATGGCCGATGAGTGGCCGAGTTTCTACGATTGAGTGTAAGTTTCGTGGAAATTATACACACACACGGGTCATAAGTTCGTGGGTCAAGTCAAACTATCACGATAATGTATCTGGACGGATTATCCGTCTGTTTGCCTGTGTTTATACACAGACGAATTATCGGACGAACTATCGTTCTTTGCCCAAGTTCATCCCAGACGGATGATCCGTCTCTAGTATAAATCCGGCCAATTTCGTTAGGCCTGAACAGACACATCTCGTAAAAAAGTGGCACATACCACTCAAAAGCTTCTATCGCACACACACCAAAGAAAACATCATTTCATTCTACACTAGATAATCAGTCGGTGGCTCAGGATCCAATATTTTGCTCAAAAGCCAATATTTTGATATTGCACGATCAATTGATTTTCGCCACCGGAAGTGCCCGAGAGACGACGACAAAAGTAAACATTTCCCATTTTAAGGACTGGGCCGGAAGTCAAAAACTTACGGTCCAGTTAAAAATATAATAATTAAAAAGTAAAGCAAAACAAGACAATTAAATGCCCTTTTTGCCAATAGTTTTAAAATATAATCTTATAATTACCATGCACCTACCGCCACTATTCGATAACAAAAAGACGCATCGCATTGGTTAACGAGAAAAAAGGACAAAAGACAAAAAAAGAAACAAATAAACAGCTACATGTAATAAATAAAAGAAACGCAAAAACAAAATGACTGACCTCTGTAATTCTCAAAGACTGCCTATAATATGCCTACTGTTTTCATGTTCTACTTAAGCATACATTTTTGCAGATTGATTGTATATACACTTCTTTTTTCATTCATTTAATTGTAAATAATTTTAACTTTTTTTTTTTGTTGTGTCCCCAATTAGTAGTTATAATTAATACTAAATACATTGACACTTCAATAAAGCTGTTATTATTATGATTATGACTTTGATTATGATGATGATGATTATTATTATTACCGGTTTAATTTGTGCTTCGGAGATTTCAGGGCTAACCATACTGAGCCACAGTGTGTCTTGCATGAATGATTGAGTCAATTTTTTTTTCTATTTTTTGACAGCTGACAACCAAACACTCGTCATGATTGCTTTGAGTTTCTTTCTTTTTGCGTTTGTGTACCTCGCACATTCCAGTCGCTACTATGGTTACTATGCTCATGGAAACCAAGGAGGTAAGTCATTTGAGAAACTGTGGGTGCTTTCATTGCGTCAATAATCCCGGAAATTTCGGTCTGAAGTTAAATGGGAAGGTCCGTTTCGGTTCGCTCCGACTGGAATGTTTAGGACCACCTATGGAGGTGGTCCACTATGACCGGTCGGACCGAAATTTGCCGTTCCACTTTTACAAACTGGTTCATTGCCCTACTTTTTTCTTCGGTAGATTTCATTTATTTAGCGAATTCGGGAAAGGAAAAAAATGGTAAGGGTCATTTCTCTTGGTTGGTCCGGTTTGATCGCTAAATGTCGTTTCATTTTTCCTCGGGTATTCCCACTGGTCTCTGACCGGTCGGTCTGGCACGATGGAAGCACCCTATATTTTATGGGAAATTCAGGCAGGATGGCAGCTGGAAGAACTTGGGACCTTTGATTGTAAAATGACAAGGGAATTGAAAAATGACAAAAAAGGATTTATAATTGTTTCCCTTAAATCGCCTGCTCAAATCAGATTGTGAACAAAATCACCTGTGGCGACGGCCTAAAATACAACGAGAAAATGGGTCAGTGTGATTGTCCACAGAATGTATAATGTAGCCCAATAGAGTTCGCTAAACCTCTTTCTTCTCAGAGATGTTTTAAGACATGTGAATCCAGTAGTTCAAAGGGTGATTAACAATATCCACTGGACAAATCGATATCCAGTGGATAAGTGTTGACCAAAAAAAAATATTCATTCATTCATTCATCCTGTATATTTAACAGTTATATATTCCATATCGCCATGCGTCTGTTCAACAATAGACCACAGATACATGACTTCAAAATGTCAGATCACGTCAAAATGTGCTTCGTAAGAACAAAAGAGTGGCACAGCAGCAATTAGGCGGGTGTGTCACTAATTTAAGTAAGAAATTATCTTCTTTTAAACTAGTTTGATGACATAGAAATTGACCCGGTTTATCTCAGACGTAAATGTAAACCGCGTCCATGTCAAAATAATAATAATAAAAAAACACAGGTAGAATCAAAAAGTAGTTCATCGATACAGCCTACATTTCATATATTTAGGTGGGACGGGTCAAATCACTGTAGACAGGCCACATTCTTCCGGCGATTTACCAATATTTACCATTTACTACCAGAAATTTGCATCTCGGAATTTTTAAAGGAATAAAGTAATAGCTAATGATATTTTAGCGCGCCCGTTTCTGTCGAAATTTGAAGACTGTTAAGTTCACGTTGTATTTTTGTTGTTCCTTTCATCTTTGTATTTAAAACGTTCTCATCAGAAGCTAATTGTGTGGCAAAGACAACGGCTGGCCAATGCTGCAGTATACCTTTCACTTACAAAGGAGTAACATACCATTCCTGTACTAAAACTGATCACAACAAGTTTTGGTGTTCGCTGGACGCTGTCTACAAGGGAAAGTGGGGAAATTGTGGTAAGCATTGGAATAATGTTGGGATTAACGAAACACAGAAATGCGCGAATACCACCAAAGATGTGAAATCTCCAACTTGCTCAAACTTCTTTTATTTGTTGTCCAGATAGCGGTATTGATGGCTGTCATTCATTTTTTTAAAAGAAACCATTTGATGTTTCGCCCAAAAATGAGGACAATCGTTTTCAGGGCCAGGCACAATACAATGTAGCTTGAAAATTAGCCATTTTGAAGCGAAATGTTTGCCTGGAGTATACAGCCAAATGACATGAAGTGGTTATCATCTTATTCCTACAACCTTTCCACAAATTATTTTAAAATTTCCAAGAAAATGTAAAAAAACAATTTAAACTAAAAAAGATGAAATAGAGAGATAGAGAGACCAGAATGAAATTGCCTGCTACTGCGTTTGAATTTCAAATTTGATTTAAAAAGATTACCCTACTACCTTAATCAGAAATTAAATGAAATTCAAAAATAAAACTAGCCGGGCTTGAACAGTTGGCAAGGGGTTGTATTTACATCTAGGCAATATCAAGCGTAACAAAATTGGCGCTAAAATTCCACACAAACCTACTTTATATATATATAAAAAAAAACATTCTCTTCAGTTAGACAATGTTTTCAAATTTAGATGACACAATTTGAAGTCTTGCACTACTGAATAACTTAGAGATGCAATCAGCTACCTATTAACAAAGTAAAAGCTAATGCAATGGGGTCAAAACTAAACCATAATCATGCTCAAAAGTATATATCACCCTTTAAAAGTTCAATATTAAAGGAGTTAACAGAATTGCAAAAGATAATTGACTCTTTCAGGCCGAGATCGGAGGTCATCGGGTCTTAAAAATCATTTAATCCATGTTAAGCTAATGCAGCAGTCTCTAACCTTTAAATCATTTAGTCTTGCTTTGCAGCCGCCCTTGATACATTACACAGGAAAATATACTGCGTGCGCAGTACGGTTACGCTCCAAAAGTTGCACAAAGGTCCTTAAACATGGCATGCATCTTCTTAGTGTGATTTAGTAACTTAATAGTTCATGGTAAAAGCAATTGGCGTCTCGGCAATTTCAAAGGGATAAAATAAAAGCGAATGATATTATGGCGAAACTGTTTCATTCCAAACTAGTAGACTGCTGAGTTCATTTTTAAATTTTTGTTGTTCCTTTCATGTTTGTCTTTGAAACGTCCTCAACAAAAGCTGAATGTGTTCAAAAGACAACGGATGGCCAATGCTGCAGTATACCTTTCACTTACGGAGGAGTAACATACCATTCCTGTACCAAAAAACATCACAACAAGTTGTGGTGTTCGCTAGACGCTGTCTACAAGGGAAAGTGGGGAAATTGTGGTAAGCATTGGAATAATGTTGGGACTAACTAAACGCTTAGTAATAAGTATTTGCAAGAATCAAAAGAAATGCGCAAATAGCAGCAAAAATGCGAAATATCCAACTTCCTCTAACTCCGTTTATTTGTTATCCAGATAGAGGTATTGATTCACTTTTTTAAAAGAAAAAAAGGGATGTTTTGCGCTAAAACGAGGACAATCATTTTCAAGGGTCATGTACCAGACAATTTACCTTAAAATTTAGCCATTTTCAGGCGAAATGTTTGCCTGGAGTACATAGCCAAATGACCTGAATTTATTATCATCTTAATCCTACAACTTTTCTAAAATTTAATTTAACATTTCTAAGAAAATGTAAAGAAAATGAAACTAAAAGAATTTGAAACAGAGAGATAGGGAGACCAGAAGGGAATTGTCTGTTTCTGTGTTTAAATTTGAAGTTTAATTAGAAAAGGTTATCCTACTAATTAATCAGAAATATAATGAAATTTGGAAGTAAAACCAGCTGGGCATAAACATTCGACAGTTATTAAAGGGTTTCTTTTTTGCATCTAGGTAATATAAAGCTAAACGAGTTGGCTCTAAAAATCCACACACACCCACATTTTGTAAAAACGTTTTGTTCAGTTAGACAATGTTTTTAATTTAGATTACACAATTTAAACTCCTGTACAACTGAATGATTTAGAGATGCCATCAGCTACCTATTACGATAGTAAAAGCTAGTGTAATGAGATCAAATGTAAGCCATGCTCAAAAGTATATTTCAACATCTAAAAGTTCAATATTAAAAGAGTAAACAGAATTGCAAGAGGTGAGGGCCTCTTTGAGGCCAAGTTTAAAAGTCATCTTGTCTTGAAAATCATTTAATCCATGCTAAGCTATTGCAACAGTTTCAAACCCTAAAATCATTAAGACTTGCTTTGCTGCCGCCTTTGCTAATATACCGCGTGCGTAGTAGGATTACGCACCAAAATGTGCGTAAATTTATAGGTCCTTAAACATGGCACCTTCTTTGTGCGATTTACTACTATCTGAACAGTTTCTGGTAAAAGCAATTTAAATCTCGGCATTCTTAAAGGGATAAAGTAATAGCTAATGATATTTTGGCGCGCCCGTTTCTGTCGAAATTTGAAGACTGTTAAGTTCACGTTGTACTTTTGTCTTTCCTTTCATCTTTGTATTTAAAACGTTCTCAACAGAAGCTAAATGTGTGGCAAAGACAACGGCTGGCCAATGCTGCAGTATACCTTTCACTTACAAAGGAGTAACATACCATTCCTGTACCAAAGCTGATCACAACAAGTTTTGGTGTTCGCTGGACGCTGTCTACAAGGGAAAGTGGGGAAATTGTGGTAAGCATTGCAGTGATGCTGTGATTAACTAAACACTTAACAATAAATATCTCTAAGAATCAAACAAAATCAGCAAATACCGACAAAAATGTGTAATCTCCAACGTGCTCAAATTTCGGGGGTTTTTTTGTTGTTGTTGTTGTTGTTGTTGTTGTTGTTGTTGTTGTTGTCCAGGTAGAGGTATTAAGGGCTGTGTTATTCATTTTTTATTTGATGTTTTGCCCAAAAACGAGGACAATCATTTTCAGGGTCAGGTACGACACAATGTAGCTTGAAAATTAGCCATTTTGATGCAGAATGTTTGCCTCAAGGTATACAGCCAAATCACATGAATTTGTTATTATCTTATTGCTACAACTTTTTTAGAAATTATTTTAAGATTTCCAAGAAAATGTTACAAAATAAATTAAACTAAAAAAGATGAAATAGAGAGATAGAGAGACCAGAAGGGAATTGCCTGTTACTGCGTTTGAATTTCAAATTTGATTAAAAAAGATTACTCTACTAGCTTCATCAGAAATTACATGAAATTTAGAAGTTTAGAAACTGTAAAGTGCAACTGATTAAGAAATAAAAAGATTAATTAATTGATTGGAAAACAAACCAGCCGGGCATGAACATTTGACAGTTATTAAAAGGAGTCGTATTTGCATTTACGTAATATCAAGCTTAATGAAGTTGGCACTAACAATCCACACACACCCACATTTAGAAAAACATTTTCTCCACTAATGCATTTTTTTAAAATTGAGATTACACAATTTGAAGTCTTGCACATATGAAAAATTTAGAGATGCCAACATCTACCTATTAACACAGTAAAAGCTAGTGCAATAAGATCAAAAATAAGCCAAGCTCAAAAGTGTATATCACCATTTAAAAGTTCGATATTAAAGGAGTTAACAGAATTGCAAGAGATCAGTGCCTCATTCAGGCCAGGATCGAAGGTCATCGGGTCTTGAAAATCATTTAATTCATGCCAAGCTATTGCAGCGGTCGCTAGCCCTAAATTAATTTGGTCTTGCTTCACAGCCGCCTTTGATTATATATTGCGTGCGCAGTAGAATTACCATCCAAAAGTTACGCAAAGGTCGTTAAACATGGCACCTTTTTTAGTGCGAATTACCACTTGCTCAATAGTTCATGGTAAAAGCAATTGGCATCTCGGCATATTTAAACGGGACAAAATAGTAGCTAATGATATTATGGCGAGACCGTTTCTTTCGAAACTAAAACTAGTAGACTGCTAGGTTCACCTTAAATTTCTCTTGCTCCTTTCATCTTTGTTTTTAAAACGTCCTCAACAGAAGCTCAATGTGTCCAAAAGACAACGGATGGCCAATGCTGCAGTATACCTTTCACTTACAAAGGAGTAACATACCATTCTTGCACCAAAGCTGATCACAACAAGTTTTGGTGTTCGCTGGACCCTGCCTACAAGGGAAAGTGGGGAAATTGTGGTAAGCATTGGAATAATGTTGGGGTTAACTAAACACTTAAAAAAATATATCTGCGATAGTCACAAGAAACCCGCAAATAGCAGGAAAAATGTGATATATCCAAATTGCATAAACTTCATTTCTTTTTTGTCCAGATAGAGGTATTCATGGCTGTGTCATTCATTTTTTTTTTTTAAAGAAAATATTTGATATTTCGCCCGAAAATGAAGACAATCATTGTCAGGGTCAGGTGCGATACAATGTAGCTTGAAAATTATCCGTTTTGAAGCGAAATGTTTGCCTGGAGTATACAGCCATATGACATGAATTTGTTATTATCTTATTACTATAACCTTTCCAGAAATTATTTTAACATTTCCAAGAAAATGTAAAAAAATTAATTAAACTAAAAAAAATGAAATAGAGAGATAGAGAGATCAGAATGGAATTGCCTGCTACTGCGTTTGTATTTCAAATTTGATTTAAAAAGATTACCCTACTACCTTAATCAGACATTAAATGAAATTTAAAAGTAAAACTAGCCGGGCATGAACAGTTGCCAGTTATTTCAAGGGGTTGTATTTACATCTAGGCAATATCAAGCTTAACAAAATTGGCGCTAAAATTCCACGCAAACCCACTTTATAAAAAAAACATTCTCTTCAGTTAGACAATGTTTTCAAATTTAGATGACACAATTTGAAGTCTTGCACTACTGAATAATTTAGAGATGCCATCAGCTACCTATTAACAAAGTAAAAGCTACTGCAATGGGCTCAAAATTAAACCTTGTTCATACTCAAAAGTACATATCACCCTTTAAAAGTTCAACATTAAAGGAGTTAACAGAATTGCAAAAGATAATTGACTCTTTCAGGCCGAGATCGGAGGTCATCGGGTCTTAAAAATCATTTAATCCATGTTAAGCTAATGCAGCAGTCTCTAACCTTTAAATCATTTAGTCTTGCTTTGCAGCCGCCCTTGATACATTACACAGGAAAATATACTGCGTGCGCAGTACGGTTACGCTCCAAAAGTTGCACAAAGGTCCTTAAACATGGCATGCATCTTCTTAGTGTGATTTAGTAACTTAATAGTTCATGGTAAAAGCAATTGGCGTCTCGGCAATTTCAAAGGGATAAAATAAAAGCGAATGATATTATGGCGAAACTGTTTCATTCCAAACTAGTAGACTGCTGAGTTCATTTTTAAATTTTTGTTGTTCCTTTCATGTTTGTCTTTGAAACGTCCTCAACAAAAGCTGAATGTGTTCAAAAGACAACGGATGGCCAATGCTGCAGTATACCTTTCACTTACGGAGGAGTAACATACCATTCCTGTACCAAAAAACATCACAACAAGTTGTGGTGTTCGCTAGACGCTGTCTACAAGGGAAAGTGGGGAAATTGTGGTAAGCATTGGAATAATGTTGGGACTAACTAAACGCTTAGTAATAAGTATTTGCAAGAATCAAAAGAAATGCGCAAATAGCAGCAAAAATGCGAAATATCCAACTTCCTCTAACTCCGTTTATTTGTTATCCAGATAGAGGTATTGATTCACTTTTTTAAAAGAAAAAAAGGGATGTTTTGCGCTAAAACGAGGACAATCATTTTCAAGGGTCATGTACCAGACAATTTACCTTAAAATTTAGCCATTTTCAGGCGAAATGTTTGCCTGGAGTACATAGCCAAATGACCTGAATTTATTATCATCTTAATCCTACAACTTTTCTAAAATTTAATTTAACATTTCTAAGAAAATGTAAAGAAAATGAAACTAAAAGAATTTGAAACAGAGAGATAGGGAGACCAGAAGGGAATTGTCTGTTTCTGTGTTTAAATTTGAAGTTTAATTAGAAAAGGTTATCCTACTAATTAATCAGAAATATAATGAAATTTGGAAGTAAAACCAGCTGGGCATAAACATTCGACAGTTATTAAAGGGTTTCTTTTTTGCATCTAGGTAATATAAAGCTAAACGAGTTGGCTCTAAAAATCCACACACACCCACATTTTGTAAAAACGTTTTGTTCAGTTAGACAATGTTTTTAATTTAGATTACACAATTTAAACTCCTGTACAACTGAATGATTTAGAGATGCCATCAGCTACCTATTACGATAGTAAAAGCTAGTGTAATGAGATCAAATGTAAGCCATGCTCAAAAGTATATTTCAACATCTAAAAGTTCAATATTAAAAGAGTAAACAGAATTGCAAGAGGTGAGGGCCTCTTTGAGGCCAAGTTTAAAAGTCATCTTGTCTTGAAAATCATTTAATCCATGCTAAGCTATTGCAACAGTTTCAAACCCTAAAATCATTAAGACTTGCTTTGCTGCCGCCTTTGCTAATATACCGCGTGCGTAGTAGGATTACGCACCAAAATGTGCGTAAATTTATAGGTCCTTAAACATGGCACCTTCTTTGTGCGATTTACTACTATCTGAACAGTTTCTGGTAAAAGCAATTTAAATCTCGGCATTCTTAAAGGGATAAAGTAATAGCTAATGATATTTTGGCGCGCCCGTTTCTGTCGAAATTTGAAGACTGTTAAGTTCACGTTGTACTTTTGTCTTTCCTTTCATCTTTGTATTTAAAACGTTCTCAACAGAAGCTAAATGTGTGGCAAAGACAACGGCTGGCCAATGCTGCAGTATACCTTTCACTTACAAAGGAGTAACATACCATTCCTGTACCAAAGCTGATCACAACAAGTTTTGGTGTTCGCTGGACGCTGTCTACAAGGGAAAGTGGGGAAATTGTGGTAAGCATTGCAGTGATGCTGTGATTAACTAAACACTTAACAATAAATATCTCTAAGAATCAAACAAAATCAGCAAATACCGACAAAAATGTGAAATCTCCAACGTGCTCAAATTTCGGGGTTTTTTTTGTTGTTGTTGTTGTTGTTGTCCAGGTAGAGGTATTAAGGGCTGTGTTATTCATTTTTTATTTGATGTTTTGCCCAAAAACGAGGACAATCATTTTCAGGGTCAGGTACGACACAATGTAGCTTGAAAATTAGCCATTTTGATGCAGAATGTTTGCCTCAAGGTATACAGCCAAATCACATGAATTTGTTATTATCTTATTGCTACAACTTTTTTAGAAATTATTTTAAGATTTCCAAGAAAATGTTACAAAATAAATTAAACTAAAAAAGATGAAATAGAGAGATAGAGAGACCAGAAGGGAATTGCCTGTTACTGCGTTTGAATTTCAAATTTGATTAAAAAAGATTACTCTACTAGCTTCATCAGAAATTACATGAAATTTAGAAGTTTAGAAACTGTAAAGTGTAACTGATTAAGAAATAAAAAGATTAATTAATTGATTGGAAAACAAACCAGCCGGGCATGAACATTTGACAGTTATTAAAAGGAGTCGTATTTGCATTTACGTAATATCAAGCTTAATGAAGTTGGCACTAACAATCCACACACACCCACATTTAGAAAAACATTTTCTCCACTAATGCATTTTTTTAAAATTGAGATTACACAATTTGAAGTCTTGCACATATGAAAAATTTAGAGATGCCAACATCTACCTATTAACACAGTAAAAGCTAGTGCAATAAGATCAAAAATAAGCCAAGCTCAAAAGTGTATATCACCATTTAAAAGTTCGATATTAAAGGAGTTAACAGAATTGCAAGAGATCAGTGCCTCATTCAGGCCAGGATCGAAGGTCATCGGGTCTTGAAAATCATTTAATTCATGCCAAGCTATTGCAGCGGTCGCTAGCCCTAAATTAATTTGGTCTTGCTTCACAGCCGCCTTTGATTATATATTGCGTGCGCAGTAGAATTACCATCCAAAAGTTACGCAAAGGTCGTTAAACATGGCACCTTTTTTAGTGCGAATTACCACTTGCTCAATAGTTCATGGTAAAAGCAATTGGCATCTCGGCATATTTAAACGGGACAAAATAGTAGCTAATGATATTATGGCGAGACCGTTTCTTTCGAAACTAAAACTAGTAGACTGCTAGGTTCA